GATGGAATTGCCAGCTACAACCCAGATTCACCCGGTGGTGCATGTTTCGCACCTTTAAAAACATGTTCCACCATAGACAGTAGTATCAGACTCCCTGGATGTAGTTGCCACTGACCCCACGGTTTCAGCTTTGCCATTACAGGTCATTGGTGTTCAGGATATATTGATTGGAAACAAGATGAAGCAGCGGTTGCTAGTTCAATGGGAACATCAACCACCATCTATGGCTTTGTGGGAAGATGCTACCGACATGAGCCGAAGGTATCCCATAGCTTGGGGGCAAGCTGTTGGTAAAGCGGGAGGCAATGTCATGAACTGCATCTAGTGTCAGAAGACAGGCAAGAAGGCGTTCAAGACAACGGCTAAGAGTGGCTAGAAGATGACCTGAGTCATTGGACTCGTATTGCTGGGTTGGGCCCATTAGGAGTAGGGGCTCGGCCCGTGTAGCAAGTTGAGGTGTGTGCGGCTCTTATAAGCCGATGTAACAAACTGAAAGAGATTATCGAATAACAGAAATCATAACCGTTCCCCCTCTCGGTTGTCTTCCTCCTCGAGTTCTTGCTTTCCGAGTCCCCTCCATTCTTGCTCTTCAAGCCCCTCTGGTGCCGATTCTTCCCCAAATTCCCGTCCAAATCCTCTTCCAGTAATTAGTTCGTGACACTACTCCCATGTCCAATCAACATTCTCTCAACAAGCAGAAGAAGCAGCCCGATTTGCCAATGGACCAGCAGAGTGCTCGATCGATGCTCCCACAGTCAAAAAGGTTTGGTTAGTTGGTGGTTGTTGGTTCACTTGAACCTCTTCACGAGCCATAATGCCAATGCACCAGTACGTACGTGTTGCCATTGGCCCCCAAACGAAACGAAACGAAACGAAACCGAGCCGCAGAGAAAACACCTCGTCCAGCCGTCGCATTACCCACCGGAGACGGGCCAGCCAACTCGCCCCGCCCGCCGATCCAATCCAATCCACAACAAGCAAGCGGTCACCACGCAGCCTCGATCGGCTGCATGCATGCGGTCGGTCAGTGTACGCAGCGGCTTCCGATCGAGTCCCAAACAGCGGTGCACGGTCGGTCGCTGCGCCACATTAACCGCGTCACGAGCTAGTAACACCCGGCGCCGCACGCGTGACGCCTCCGGTCCATACGCGCGCGCGGCCGCAATCATTTCCACGCGCCGTCGCCTCTCGGCGGGCTCTCTCTCTATCTCCTCGTGCAGAGCGCGGTGTGCCTTGCTGCCTGCCGCAGCGGCAGCGTGCGCTCGGCGGGGCAGAAGCAGAGGCAGGGCTGCTGCCCTGCGGCCTGCGCTGCGGTGCATGAAAAGACGACGGGCAAAGAAAGGGGCGCGCGGAAAACTACCCGTCTCTGCCACCGCCGCACGATTGGGTTGGTTGGAGCGTCCGGTCTTTTGGATCCTCTCGGCACGTCAAGAAAACCAACTACTCCTGCTTTCTTTCATCGGTCTCCGAGGCGGCAGCAGCAACGGCAAGCAATGGAGTACTACAGTAGTATCACAATTCGCAAAGCAAGCTCGAAACCCGTGTAAAACTGTGGAGCACGACAGCGTGAGCGAGCAGATCAACTACAGCATCGATCTACTACCATGCAGATCGAGTTGCAGACGGCTTTATTTTGTCCGTTACTCCTACGAAGGAGCACCAGCCACGGGCGTGACACGGTAACAAAGGCATGAGGAATTGGTTTATATACTCGGTGGCGGTAGTCTCAGTGCATCTGTACATGATGCCAGGCACAGGCACACAGGCTTTTCGGATTGGATTGGAGGCTTTGCGCTGTTGCGCAGCGCATTGGCCTCCTGTGCCCTGGACATTCGCATCTACGCATGGGTCGAGCGAGTGGAGCCAAACGGCGTCTTTGCCTGATACTCTACTCCTACGTTGTTGCCATCGCCGCGCCGGGACAGACCGAGACGAGACCCGTGCAAACGACGAACCGGGGGCGCCACCTGGGCCGCGCTGCCCTCGCTGTTTCTCCCACGCGGGGCGCGCCCAGCCAGCCAGAGCCACCGTGCCGGGCAGCCGGGGTAATTTCTCTGTGCTGTGAGTCTCGGATCGGAGCCGAACAAGGACTCCGGTTCCCAGGAACCATTCCCGAGAAGGATCCCTAGCTAGATTGCTTGGCTAATTTATATACGCTTTGATTAGCTCAAATGATTCCTCGGTGGATTCGGCCGAGCTAACCCAACGAGCCCTAAAATCGTGCCGGACAGACCTTTCCTGCCCTCGTTCTCATCTCCATAAAACGAAGGCAATTGTTGCAACCACGTACGGTTGCATCTGAATTTACTGGAGAAGACGAAGATTTACGCTACGGAATTAGTTCGTTCCCCGTTTAATCTAATCATGCTCGTGCATTGCCCGTCTTTGGGGCACAAGAAACCGAAAAGATTTACTTTGATGCTAATGGTGACGACAAGTAAAAGGACGTGCATGGGGCTGCTCCTTGTCCTTGAAAGCAACATTGAGCTACAACGATATGAAATATTCTCGGAGCTCGGAGCTAGCTACAACAAGGAGAGGTCAGAGGAGACGAGGACCACCCGGCCCGTGCGCGCGATGCAAGAAAAGGTCCGCGACGAGACACAGCTCTTGTTCCCTTTCTCCCTGCTTGTTCTATCTGTATGTACATGTAAAACAGAATCCTAGGGTCGATCCAAAGGATTAAGAAACAACTGGTTTACTTCGGCATGGGATTTGTTTGCAGAATTTATAGCATTCATCGATCGATTGGCTCGTCGTGTCCAGGTCAAAGCAAGGGGGCTGCCGCCGTGCAGCATGAATATACATATACTACTGCACTACTCATCCACGATTGAGCCAGAGCCAGACCGATCACTTGCTGACTAGATGGTGGTTTGAGAAGCCCTAGGTGGTCTTAAGCATTTTCCAACCACATTCTGACTTCTGCGTTTGTTATGATCAGTAACAGCGTACTGTATACTGTATTTATAGTACATACCACACCTGCAAATTTCAGAGTAATCAATGCTGTTGCGTGACAAAAACTCATCCCAGACATGGAAATTCCAGTCAGTGCTGCTTATTTTAATCCTGCTGGCTGGTTGCATCAATCCCGATCACCTGACAAGAGGACCTGTAAAAAAAACTGCAAGCAAACGCAGTGCAAAGCACAACAAACCTGCTAAGCTTGGTAGTAACCTCATGCTAATGTATGCAATGAGCTCACATGCATGCCGGCGTCAGGTTTTTTCAACTTGTAGACTTGTAGTGTTGATCGATGTTGCTGTGAGTATATCACCATGGATATGTTGCCAACAGAACATGAGGTTAGCATCTGATTAAGAGATGCTAGCACGCTTGGGCCTAATGGAATTGGATATGGGAGCAAAGTTCTCTATGATAGAGTAGTTATCAACAACTTAAACAGGGGACATTGTTAAGTACTTGTAGCAATTTCTAAATCTTATTCAATTCCATTAGTCTAGTTCTTCAGCTGACGCTCTGGCCAATGTCAGGACCTTCATGAGAAACATGCAGCCATGTTAATCGTAGGCCCACCGCACAGAGACCATTGCAGGTATAGGCTGAGGACCCCCAGAACCAACTGCAAGTAAAAGCAGTTGTTGTCGTGGCTGCATATGCAGCCTGCAGTCTGCCTACCGGCAGCGGCCTCCACAACAGTGAACACTGAACAGCCAGCTCTTCAGCCTTCAGCACCGTCCTCCCTATATGAAAAAAGAGCTGCAGGCTCCAATAAATTTCCAGTGCAGGCTTTTTCACCAGACTTTTGAGGTGAATTTATTGAGTCAATCGACCCTCACCGCTTTCATTAGCAAATGTAACGGCAATATCAGTAACAGATTCCTGCAGGTCTGTTCCTGAACATCAGTGTTCTGTTCCTGAAAATTTCAAGTGTTCTAGACAATAGATCAAAATCAAAAGATTCATCTTTGATTTTCATTTAATGCTCCATATAAAATTGATGTGATAGAGAGAGAGTGAAAAAACTTGGAATTTTAAGTGTATCTAAACAAGGCCCAAATGATGTTTTTGAGTTTCATATGGAAATGAATCAACATGAGTAAGCTATTCCAGTAGTGATCCCTTCAACATTTTTTTTAATTGTTGATGAGGATGACATAGCTTATTTCATATTTATCGCCTCAGTTTGTTCAATTATTGTCTCTGTTTTATGGTAAGACTCCAGGTGTATTCCTGGGAGTTCATCAGGTCAGGTGGCAGTGTTTTCCTTTCTGATGTATGTTAGCAATGCTGATAAGAGGAAAGGGACAAAGAACTCAGACATGAACTAAAACATCGACACAAACATGGATGGGCATGATTTGGTCAATAGGTCTAGGGTTTAAGTCACATCGCTGTTCACAGTCATGACTTAGGGGAGGCATTTGCATGCTCCGTGTCTTTATATGTGCAAAGCCATGCCATAATTTGTACCTATGACTGGTTCTCTTCACAAAATATGAGGCATGGGCAAATACTACAAACAAGCAGTCAACCAGAGAATGCATCGATGAATCAGCACAGCTATTTTTGCAGAATATTAAAGAAAAATAAATTGGAACATCAGGAGGATTTCTCACAACAATTTTTTTATATATTGGCAAAGAACAAAGGAACGAAACTGAAAATCTTTTTTTGTTGTTGATTTCTCTCTCTCAAATCCTCACATCTCCAATCTCATATCCACAAAGATCTCCCCGCAAATGCCTTCAGATACCAATAAAAAGAAAAGGAATAAAACAAAGGTGCCGGTGAGGGGAAGGGAATTTCAAAATTGCTAGAGGAAGAAGCCTTCCTCCTCACCTCTTATATCTCAGAGATCAAGAAGCTGGTACTAACTTATTACTGTCACCATCCTCTGCTTGTTACAATGCTTCACTGGATCCTTTTGTACCACTACTTGTGGCCCTGACAAGCTCTGAGGTTAAGATGATCAATGGATAAACAAGTGCGCAATGCCACGCTGCCAACGGACATATGTACGGTATATGATCTACTCAGATTGGTGATATGCTTAGCCTTCTCCTCTTGGAAGCTTGATTGTTGTTGTTACTACTACTGATGTTGTTTGATTGTGATGATCCTAGTGTTGCATCTTCACTCCTAAAGCTGAAGCATGTTGCATCCAGCACACCAATCGGGCTTTCTGGCACTGAAGGGCTTCCATTGATGTGCCTTCTCTTCTTCACCAGCGCCTGCTCTAGCAACAGCTCATAGCATCTAGCAATCATCTCCTGGAAATGGAAGATGCAAGCTTCACACTTTGAGAAATTGTGTAAATGGCAATGTTGCATTGATCAGTTTTTGCGCAAGCTAAAAGACACTCACCTTATTTACAGGGACTTCAGATGCTGAAAGAACACTCGCAAAGCCAACAATCTGATTCTCAGAAACCGCTGCTAGGGCCGAGGCCGCAGCAATCTCAGATGGTCTGAATGACAAGAATGTAGAGCCTGTAAATCCATAGGATACAGATGTTTAGCTGGTACACACAAACATAGTGCTATCGGCAATGCAGGTAAGTGAATTGAACAGACGATGAAGCATCATGGGTAAGGTCAATCGAACCTTTGAGTGTGCCAATTATGATCTCGGCGCACCGTGAGGCTAGTGCAAAACTCGGTGGCTTCCCATCACTGAACTTGTCCAGGAAGTAGCTGATGAAAGTGAACGGGGTCACAGCCTGCATTCTCCATTTCAGGGTTTTCATCACAAGACCCTCCATCCTCCCAATAGTCTTTCCTTCAAACTCAAATTTCACATCGCAGACCTATCATGCAGCATCAAATTTTAACAATTTCATCAACCAATCAGTGAACAATTATTCGATACCACAATGCTGTAATTTCTCCTTCACCCACCTGAAGGTCCACAGGAAGAGGGACCACGGTCTCCTCCATCTTGGCAGCAAGAGATAGGCAAGCAACTGACAACAACTGTTGCATCCAAGGGTTGTCGTGCTACAACAACAAGAACAAACAAAATAGGAAAAAAAAACACATCCATTAGTTACAGATTAACTGGACACAACAAGCAGACAACCAATGTACATGCTCAGATTCTTACTGGGAGCTCATACAAGGAGAGGAATCTATCCAGGTAATTCATAGCAAGGTAAAAACTGAGTGGTGCAAAGCTGTAGTATGAATGGACCTGCAGCCCACACGAGAGAAAGACAAGATCAGCACCTCGTCAATTTCAACTCAAAACAAAAATTTCCAGATAAAAAGGCCAAGCGGGTGGCAGGCTCATTGCTATCTCGTCGTGGTCGAATCGGCAACAAGCCACAGGATGTAGGACACGCAGCCAAAACTGGGGTCACGCAAAGTCAAAGAGATAATATAAGCATGCAACTACCTTCCTAAAATAACTCGATTTTGTCCACTAGAAAAAAGGAATGAAATGCAAGAACCAATAAATTCAAGAGATTTTTTTTATTTCACCTTGCAAATCCAATCCATGGCGTCTCTCCTCCAAGAGGACTCCAATCCGCCTCGCTCCAGCCTCTCCGCATAGCCCTCTTGAGGTTGGTGGTCCATCTCCTTCTCCACCCACGCCGACACGGCCTCATCGGTGTCCACGGGGAACACGGCGCCAGCGGCGGAGTCCAAGCCATCAAGGCCGCTCCCCACCTCCAGCAGCTCGTCGCAGCAGCCGACGAGGCCGAGTGCGTTGCTCCTGTCCTCCTCGCAGAGCAGCGTGGAGGAAGCACCGAGGCAGACGATTCCCATCTCAATCAATCAAAATCGCAGCAAACAGCGGCCTCCTACAGTCCTACTGCTAAAGTAGAACTAGTAGTACTACTTGGTACTGGAAGATCTCGTCTCCTTGGACCTTGGGTACCGAATGAAGAAAGCCTCTCCCTCCCCTCTGCGTGTCTTGGAAAATGGCAAAGGGAAAGGCAGGACGAGAGAGAGAGAGAGAGGAGGAGGAGGAGGGATCTCCTGGGGAAGAGAAGAAGGGGGTTTGGGTGTTTTATAGCGGCGTGTGGTTTTAAGGGCGGAGTGAAATAAAAATGATTAAGCAATAATCATGCTGAGTTTAGTGGCAGGTTTTGGGCTCTGCGAAAGTGTAACAAACAAAGAGGCTAGCAGAGGGTGTCACGTCAAAATGTAAACTATATAACCGTCTTGGTGTGAAATGAAATTTTCGTTAAATAATGTGCAAATAAAAAATCATGAATTCACATCAAAGTTTATATTTTATTACACGGATAAAGTTATTATAAAGAGAGAAAGAATAGAAACATATTCTTTTTGACTATGCACAAAATTAATAGGACAATATGTCACCAACGAAGTAGTTTTTTCTCGGAAATGGAATCCAATGTTGTGCACGACGCACAAGAATCATGCAGTGGTTTTGAGGATAGAAAATTTGTTCATAAAACCACATCTAGTTGGGAGATCATACAATACACTACTCGCAACTATCAATGCTTGCAGTCATTTTAGATTTTGTCCCGTTCCTAGTCCAGCAACAAAAAAAAAAGGCACCTATCGAATTACGAAGAGCATCCCATCTAATCCTTAACCATGATTGTTGTTGTGTGAAATAAGACTTTCATTGAAAAGGTGCAGGAAAAAATTATGAATTTGTGATGGTATGTAGCATAACCTTTATAATTCTTTAGAAGCTCAACAGATTTGTCGTTGGGTGTTGAGCTTATTCTTTTATATAGCAAGGAATTGATTATAGACGGACAAATTAAAGTATCTTTTTGCCGGTCTATATATGTACGTTTCGGTCAATAGGGTTATAAGTATGTTTTTTCTCTCTTTTTACTGTGAAAATTAGCATGATTTCAGAGCCGTTTGGCATATCTTCAGCTGCTCCGGGTATGGCTAAGTGGAGCAAGAAATCGTGGTTTTGCCAGTTCTCCCTTTCTCAGTTTATATATATTTTTTATCTTAGAATCAAAATGAGCTCTTGCTACAGTAACAAACAGTATTGCACTACAGTGATTGCAAAGATGAGCCGAAACCACGAGGGGCATACCAAAAAGAACAGCTCGTTATATACTTATAGCACGATAGAGCAGTTCTTCTACGAACTGAAGTCCAATGCTGCAGATGACATACAAGGAGCGGTTGCGTGGACAAAAAAAAAAACCGTTCATAAAACCACGTTTGGTTGGGAGATCATACACCACTTGCAACAATGAATATTTGCAATATATCCCATCTAAAGCCTTATTTAGACGCATGTGTATCTACTTTAATCTATATGTGTTGTAGTGGATTGGAATAGAATTTAGTTTAATTCCACTCCAATCTACTTCAATACATGTGAATTGAGATGGATACATGTTTCCTTTCCCATTCCAGAACCAACAGGGGCCCACTCCAGAACCAACAGGGGGGGGCGACACCTTTCAAGAACCACAGTGAGAAATACTACGGAGTACGATGGATGATGATGAATTGCTGACTTTGCAAAAGCGCGCTAGCAATGCCACATGCCCAACAAGTCCTAGCAATGTAGAGCACAGGAGCCATGCCTAGGATGCCCAACAACAGCAAAGCTCATAGAGAAGTGCACGGAGGAATAACTACCCCGGCCGGCAAAGGCAGCCACCGCGGGCGACGAGCTGACGATGGCGCCTATAGCTACCGTAGTCCGCAGACGACTAGACGCGCGAGCCTTTTCCATTCCTTTCCCGCATGCGTGCCCCAAAGCGCACTCCTCGTGTCCTGCCCCCGTAGAAAATGCTGGGTCGGTCGTGGGTGTGCGGTGCCGCCATGGCATTCACTTGGACAGCTGGGCTCGAGTTGCGGAATGGCGGGCTCCGCGGATCGTCGTGGCACACTGACGAAGACGATTGATTGTGGCCATCAATCGATCTTGGCACGGTCCTCCTTCCAGTTCCCGTCCAGGCGTCCAGCAAGGAAATGACATCACCTGAGCTGCACGCCCAGTCCACGTGGTACCCGGCGTTCACGACAATCACGAGCGAGCCGCACGCCCAACCCACCACCGGCTCGCCGGGCTTGGGGCTGGCTAACCACCGTCACGTTTGGCCCCCTTCTCTACGTACTGTATCCACGGCCGGTTGCGCCGTGCATACATGGCGCAGATGTTTGACACGTGTCGGATTTGAACGATCCAACGCTAGCCAAGGAGTGTTCCTTGGCTAAAAATAGACTCTGCTCCAGCACGCGGCCACGCCCATCCGCCGCATGCCCCCACGCCCATCTACTGCATGCCCACATGCACCACAAAGACCAACATGTGTCAGACATCCACGCATATATGCATGACGCAACTGTGGATACAGTTTCATAGAATTTTTTTCCTCTCTCCGCCCCTGGATCCATCATCACTTGATTTGCCGCCTACACGCGCACGCTAATGGCTGCGTCTTCCTTAGAGCTTGGCGTTTGAGGTGTTGGTAGGCTAAAGGAAGAACGCCACGACGAGGGCAAGAGCGCAGGGGAGGAGCGAGCAGGAGCTCGGGTTCAGGCACCTGCAAATATAGGTACAAGAAAATTCGAGTGCAAGGGCAATCAAGAAGCACTCGAATGCCCAACAGGCAGTCCCTGCATTTAGGGCCTGTTGACTATTTTATTAAGATTTGGATCAAATGCCTAAAAATCGATTGAGTTAATCGCTTCAAATCTGGTTCCTGCATACAGTCTAGGGGTTCCCCACTTTGCTGACATGTTAACAAGGCCATAAAACACAGGAAGATTTTGATAAGAATCTGGCAAGCATACACCGAAAGATATAAAAAGCATGACACAAGGACTAGAAACAACAACCAACTGCAGTACTCAGAATAACCTTTTGAATTCTCCACGATTTACTGATTCACCACATTAAAACATGGGTAAAGTCAAAATGCCATGTCCAGCACCAGCTTCCATGATATGCACTCAAAATGTCAAGTGATCTCGCTAACAGTAGTATAGCTCTATTTCGGCCCCCAGATCATAAGATCCCACGCGAGAGGACATCAGTTTCCTTCGTACTTCGGGTCTGCCATCACGAAGTGGTAGGCAATAACCAAGACAAAGATGAAGATGCCCAGGAAATTGGAAAAGAAGCCCAGGTCTTGATCGTCAAACATCTGAAATTAAGATTGAAAACAGATTCTGGTTACCACTAATATACAGCAATGCACAATATTTTTTGTAATTGGTAATGTGCAACATCGCATAGAAGTAACAGAAAGGACACAAAATAAAGCGAGAGGTTATAGATTATAAACCATCTATGCATGATTCTGAAAAGGCGAACGTGAAACACTATAAACCAATCTCCTCTTGAATTTTGCACAGAAGTTATCAATACGAAACACAAAAAGGGCGTACCCAGTGCAGAGAGCTCCCGCTCTGTGCGGGGTTTGGGGAAGGGTGTCAGTGGCAAGCCTTACCCTCGCCTGTGCAGTGCGAGGTGACAGTGACTCGAACCCAGGACCTTCCGGTCACAGGCGGTAAGACTCTACCGCTTGCACCAGGCCCGCCCTTCATCAATACGAAACACAGCAAGTAGAAAAAACCTGCTTAACTATCCCAAACCTCCAACACCAAACATGTTTCAGAGCTGTGGAGTCTAACATTGCTGTTCTACAATATCTAAACTGATGACAAATTGGGATATCGCTAGTCAGTATCACCGGTACACATTCTAACAAATGTAAGAAGATATATCGAGTGACCTTTTTTTTTGATAACTTAGAGTGACTTTAATTGCATCCATTTATTCAGATACACATTGACTGAGGAATGTCTCAATACATAAGATTCTTCATCCATGTAAGGAGAAAATAAATGTCCCCTGCGTCCTGCACTTCAGTGATGGGGTAGGGTGTCACAATAGCTAGATAGTTTTTGACAGACCGGTAGTGTACCATGGTTTAGAAAATTACGACCATAGTGTGGTCTGCCAAGAGCAAACTGCAAGATGGCGCTAAACAACCATTCAACACACACAGCATGCAGTGGGTTCTGATAATTCAGGGGTGCATTATCCAAAGGAATTTCAAACAGAAGAAACAGTGGCAGAACTTCAGAGGTTGTTAGCAGGTTCCTAGGTGCTTGCCACATACCTCACTCCACTCACACACACATAAACTGGATAGTTGAGAATAGAGAACAACAGAGAGAGAGCACATCACGAACAAAGCGCTGTTGCCTCTGTTGAACTAAAGGTGCAGCTGGTCCAAAGACTTGTATTTATACATGTCCTATACTAGTAGAAGGTGAGGTCCACCTACCTACTACAAAGGCCATAACGGACAAACATCAGCAGCATGCCATGTCCTGTGGACAGGATGGCATGACCAAAACAATGAGCAGACCATGCTCATGACATATGCAAAACTACAGCAAGAACTAGCCTAATTTTCAACAGAGGTCATCAGCCACGGCTGATCAAATACGGTCAAGGAATTTTCAGCCACATCATGGCTGCACTACCTCATAATTACCATGATCTAACAAATCAATTCCATTTGATGTAGGCCATTCTCTGTGCGTGACTTGCATGATTTTTTGTTTTATCTTAAGGGTAACCCTGCTTCTTATAGGAAAGCATGTAACAAGAGTCTTGCACAACTGACTTGAATGAATTTTACTGAACTAAAACTAGATAATTACATAAAAAGATGATCTCATAACTTATTATAGTGCACCTAGTAACTGGCTAAAGGGAATCCCCTTTGACACAACCATGGCAAAGCTGTACTAAACATGGCCTCAATAGAGCGACTAGTAAAGTATAATACTCA